ACAGCATCCCCAGATCAGAATAGGTTTTATTTAGCCCTGGTGCCCAGGCACCCTGGTGTGCCTTGAGGTTTTTTTCTTCAGGGGAGCCTTGGCAAAATGTGCCCAAAACCTGTATACAACGGGCAGCGGGTGGAACAAGCCTGCCACTTTAATTACACAAAGCCACAGTTTTCATTGTGCACCATTACGACCTTCTAGCCGCCGGCGTCCTGACAACCAATGATATCATCAGTGATAAGGAGGATATCGGCTGCCTGCACAGGGGGGGGGCCAGATCCTAAGTTTTGCCCCTCCCCTGCCCCTCTCCATCAGTGCTGGGGTCACATTAGCTCAGTGATGGAGAAAAACTGAGAGAGAAGAGAAAAAAAACACTGGAATACCTAGTCAGAACCAGGCTGTGCAAAAGTGTAATTTGCTTTGGAAAGAATAAATCACCTCTAATTGTTGGGTGTCCTACGTGTGTGGATGTTTGCTGTGTTTTATTAAAAAATCATGGTAGAATAGTTTTTCAACGATTTTAGAATGGGGTGCCTCAAGACTGTCCATCATTTTAAAGGGTGCCTTGACTGAAAAAAGGTTGAGGAAAACACTGCTCTAGAATATATGAAAAAAAAAATGGCTTTGGATACTGTTTAAATCTATCATACAAACAATGACCAGTAGGTGGCAGCACAGTACTGGAATATGCAGATGGGAAATTTTTTTAGCATTCTATGGGATGTGCATTGTATGGACAGCCAGTAATATTCCCCATCTGACTATGCCCTCATTACCTACTGTCCTGATGGTTCACACCAGTGCTTGCAGTTCCGGTGCAGAAAAAAAGGTAGAATATGCTGCATTTTTCTTGCACAGAACTGTACTGGAACGCAGTAAAATGCATCAAAAACTGGAACGCATTAAAAATGCATGGCTTCAAATGACCTAAAAAAGTGTCTGGAACAGATCATAAATGCACTAAAACATGCATGTAGAAACGCATGCAGACTGCGTTTCTGTGGTGCGAACCAGTTTGCTGGTCTCCGTCCACTCTATGACGCTCGAAATGCACGGAAGTGGAGGGGGGGGGCACACTCAGGGGTGATATAAAGCTGTACATCCACCCGATCGCTTTCATTGGAAGCTAACATTCAACTTGTGGTGCACACACTACCAGCTACTGTAGCAGCCAGGAGAATGTGTAAGACCCTCTACTGAGCTATGACATACAATATGTTGGTGGCAATAAAAGGGTTAAATTGTAGCAATACAGTCCTCCAAACACACAGGTTACCATTTGACCCTGTTTCCTTGGGACAGCCCCTGTATTCATCCCCGAACCTGCACCTGACACCAAAAAAACAAATACACGGGAGGGAGCTCCAGCACGCAGCCTGTGATTGACAGCCTCAGCTCTGTTGCTGTGTGATTGGGGGGGGGTGTCCCTTCCCTCCAATCAGCTCTCAGAGCTCTGCTCACTGAACTCTGCAGAGTGTAACTTCATCTCCCCATCCCCTGCTTTTCAGAGCTAAGAGATCGGATTCTGGTGCAGACAAAAAAAGAGGGTCCTGCACTATTTTTGGTGCGGATGCGGTATGACCTGAGCCATACAGAATGTATGGCTCAAATTGCACTGCACAGAAATCGCATATGATTTGTACAGGAATGCGGTGCAGTTCCTGTGCGAATCAAATGCAATGTGCCGCACCTCATCACTGTGAACCTGGGCAGCGCTGGAGCGATCTGCATGTGCAAGGCAATCCCTGTTGCAGTGCAGGCTGCACCATTTTGAAAGGTACTCCCTTTCAGGGCCATAATTGTTCAGGGATGAATCCCTTGAATGCAAAATTTCTGTGTTCAAGGCATTCACCTCTCTTTGCATATAGCTCTGAACATGAGTACCATTCAGAACAGTATATAGCCGCTGCGTATGCTAAACCTATGCCTCCTTGGTGCACATCTGTTTTTACGATGTATGGGTAAAAGTGCCTGTGTGCATGAGCCCTAAACAGATTTTATATGCCCAGATCACTTTCTCCTCCATTTAAATATACAGTGCTCAGCATAAATGAGTACGCCCCTTTTCCAAAGTAAGATTTTAATCAATATCTCAGTGAACACAAGAATAATTTCCAAAATTTGGACAAAACTGAGTTTTATAGAACATTTGTTTAGCTCATTACATGAAAGTAAGGTTAATAATATAACTTGGCTTACAAAATCTTCAGTTTTACTCGAATTAGTTGATGCAAAAATGAATACACCCCACAACAAAAACTACTCCATCTAGTATTTTGTATGACCTCCATGATTTTTAAGGAGAGCACCAAGTCTTCTAGGCATGGAGTGAACAAGTTGGCGACATATTGCAACATCTATATTTTTTCCATTCTTCAAGAACGACCTTTTTTAGAGCCTGGATGCTGGATGGAGAGTGATGCTTACCCTTGTCTCTTCAGAATTCCCCATAGGTGTTTGATTGGGTTCAGATCAGGAGACACTGAAACACTGTCACCCTGTTCTTCTTCAAACATGCAACAGCGGCCTTAGATGTGTGTTTTGGATCATTGTCATATTGGAAAAGTGCAGGAGGCCCAAGGGCACAGAGTGATGGTTGCATCTTTTCTTTTAATATAGAGCAGTACATCTGTGAATTCATGACACCATCAATGAAATGCAGCTCCCTGACACCAGCAGAATTCATGCAGCCCCACAGAAGGACACTGCCACCACCATGTTTCACTATAGGCACCATGCATTTTTCTTTGTACTCCTCACCTTTGCGACACCATAAAAATACGGTTTTGAAGCCATCAGTTCCAAAAACATTTAACTTAGTCTCATCGCTCCAGAGTACAGAGCCTCAGTAGCATTCTTCTTTTTCAGTATAGGTCCTGGCAAATTCTAGGTGGACTTTTTGTGCATGGGCTTCAGAAGAGACTTCCTTCGTGGACAATACCCATGCATGCTATTCCTCTGCAGTGTACGCCGTATTGTGTCACAGGAAACAATCACAACAGTTTGGCTTTCTACTTCTTTAGCTAACTGCAGTGAACTTGCATGGCAATTTTCTTCAACCCTTCTCATCAGAAGACACTCCTGTCGAGGTGTTAACTTCTGTGGGCGGCCTGGACGTCTCTGTGAGAAGGTTACAGTTTTATCTATGTTATCATTTTGTATCACTTTTGTCACAGTATTCTGACTGATAAATAAAGCTTTGCTGATCTTCTTGTAGCCTTCACCTTTCTTGTGTAAAGAATGAATTTGTTAGGAAAAATACTTTTTTGTGGGCGCAAATGAACAAATCTTGTTTGTAATCAATGGCCCGCATTTGTGGTAGTGTTTTGTAGTATAGTGTCACATAGAAAATGTGGATTCTGAAAGGAAAGTAAAGGTTTTCTTACAAATCTGTTGGGGTGTACTCATTTATGCTGAGCACTGTACTTGCGTTTACATACATTCAGAGAAGGGGTGTCAAACTCAATTTCATTGCAGGCAGCATCAGCATTACGGTTGCCTTCAAAGGGCTGGATGTACCTGTAAGACTAGACGTCCAGAGCACCCCACCCTCCCTTACATCAGATGTCAAGAGCCCGCCCACCATCAAAAGCCAAGAGTCCCCCACCCTCCTTTACATCACAGTGCATCCCCCTTACCTTGTGCTGCTGTTGGGAAGAAAATGGGGGTGGAGCTGGGAAAGAGAACATGCAGAGTCTGGAGGAGGACCAGAGGAGGGCTGGAGTCTCGGAGATGAGGGGGGTGCGCAGCTGCTGTAGAGGTGCGAGAGCCACATGAAATGACCTAGGGGGCTGGATTCAGCCCTTGGCCCTTGTGTTTGACACACGTCATTCAGAGTATCCAGCCTGTCCCTGGATGCAAATTTCTATTTTCTCTAAAAACAAGTAACCTGAATGCACCTACACACAGGTAAATGTACACTGTGAATTATTTTTAAAATCATTAGTGCATTTGAAAATGTCCTATAAGCACATATATGTCACTGCCAGAGTGCATGACATCTACAGTACAGGGAATTCTGTCATCCTTTGCAGAAGACACTATCGTTGTCTCCATACTATAGCCAACGACATGATTGCAGAAAAGATGACATCAGAGAGCACAGCCTGCACCTCCTCCCCATCACCATTTCACTATTCCAGACTGATAGCTGACAGGAGTATTGATGATACTATCGCCATTCCAGCTTTACAATTAAAAAATCAAAACAGGATGACAAAATGTGAGCAAGACTGGGATAATGAAAGACATGGGGCACCCTGAAAAGAACAGAGAAATAAGTTCTGTGGCTGGCCAGTGGGAGGATCTTAAAGGGGGATTGAACAGATTCTGTGCCTGCTGTATACAATGCACACCTATACCACACTCCTCCTACCCACAAAATACTAAATACTGTGCCACAACCGACAGTCACACAGACACAAATAAACCTCAGGACAAAGGAACATTTTTTTTTTTATTAATTGTTTCCATTTCATATGTTTTTATGCACACAAAAAGTATATTTTTGCCCTAGGCGGCCACACTTGGATCAAAATTCATTTGCTTCAGTAGAGACCAGTTGAATTTCACTCCATGTATGGGCAGGCTGGTTGTACAGAAGTTGATCTACCAATCAGGTTCTAGGACAATCTAGGAATATTTCTATGACAATAGCACCGCCGGCTTTAGCTGGCAGCACTGATCAATGTATTCTGGCGGCACTGAAGTCTCTTCGCTGTCAGAACACATTGCCTCAGCGGGAGCGATTCCCCGTCCACATTGAATTTGTGGATGATACAATCGAGTAATTTTTTTTTTTTTTTGATCAATAAATTGTTTAACAAAAAAAATGACTAATATCGGGGCCGCCACACTGAGCCTACCTTAAAGAGAAGAACGCCATTAACCGCCTCCCGCCCGCCATATAAAGTAATGACGGGTGCAAGGCAGTTCTCTCATTCTGGGAGGACGTCATATGATGTCCTCCCACTCTAACCGCACGTGCGCAGTGCGGCGATCAGTGGTGCGCTGTGTCTCATCAATGCCACCTGCCAGTGCCCATCAGTGCCTACCAGTGCACATCAATGCCACATATCAGTGCCCATCTGAGCTGCCTTTCAGTGCCACCTATCAGTGCGTGTCATTGCTGCCTATCAGTGCCACCTATCTGTGCGAGTCAGTGTTGCCTATCAGTGCCATATATGAGGTCTGCCTTTCAGCGCCCATCAGTGCCACCTACCAGTGCCTCATCAGTGCCCATCAGTACCGCCTATCAGTGCCCATCACTGCAGCCTCATTAGCGCACATCAGTGAAGGAGAAAAATTACTTATTTACAAAATTTTATAACAAGAAAAAAACTTTTTTTTTAAATTTCAGATTTTGGTTTGTTTAGCAAAAAAAAACCCAGAGGTGATTAAATACCACCAAAATAAAGCTCTATCTGTCTCAAAAAAAATTATAAAAATTTCATATGAGCACAATGTTGCATGACCGCGCAATTGTCATTCAAAGTGTGACAGCACCGAAAGCTGATTGGCCTGGGCAGGAAGGGGGTATAAGGGCCCTGTAGGCAAGTGGTTAAAACCAGAAACTGTTGAGAAAAGAAACACCTTGGTCAGGTCTATGTATATCTTTGCATAATGTACAGAGTACAGGGATCAGCAGGAGTAAAAACAAAACCACATATGGAGTGTAGCTGTCAGGATGAGAGCCACATTCACATCAGAGTCCTCTCTTACATCAGTGTCCCCATAGTGAAACCACCTTACATTACAGTCTGCAGAGTCCCCCTTAAATCAGATACTAGAGTCTAGAGTGCCCCCTCACATCAGAATCCAGCAGAGTGCCCCCTTACATCAGAGTTTGGTAGAGTGCCCCTTACATCAAAGTTTGGCAGGGTGCCCCCTTGCATCACAGTCCAGCAGATTTCCCCCTTACATTAGAGTCCAGCAGAGTGCCACCTTACATCAGAGTTTGGCAGAGCGCCCCTTTACATCAAAGTGGGGTGGCTTGCTCCCTTACATCAGAGTGCAGCAGATTGCCGCTTTACATCAGAGTCCAACAGAGTACCCCCTTATAGAGTCAGAGTCCAACAGAGTGCCCCCCTATAGAGTCAGAGTCCAGCAGACATCTGATTCTGGCAGTCAGAGCCCATGACAAAGGGATTTTTTACAGGCACTTTTCTCCTGTCCATGAACATTTGTGGATAATAGAAAGTGTCTGTTTTATACAAACTGTCTGTAAATTTATGGATGGTTGGCAACATATGGTTGAGGTGTACACATACTACCACTGTGATGTTTTGTGGCCGTGGAAGAAATTATATCCTCTGTTGCTTTTTGTTAGTGCAGTGCCTACTGAATGTGACCCATTCAAGTGAGTGAGGCTGCTCTGCAAACACCCCACAACTGCATGCAATGCGCATGGTTGCAGTACGCTAGTGTGGGGTTCTAGGGGTTAAACCAGGTGAGAAGGTGGTTATACATCTCCTCACTGCCTGCCAACTGCTCTCTGATGAGTGATCTGAATGCAGATCACTGTTCAGAGACCAAAGTTCCTGTGAACAATCCCCTAAAGGGATGGTGGGTCTGGGCAGGAAGGGGTTAAACAGAAGCATCACAAACGTGTGAGTAATAACTCCATCAGTTTATCCAGCCTTCAGATTGTCAGTCATCACCAATAATACTAAAGTTGTCTCTGCGTGTTAACATGAACAAAGAGGGGGAGGGAGGATGGGGGAGAAAAGATGGGGAGACGGGGGAAGAGAATGGGGGATATAGAGAAGGGGGAGATGAGGGGGGCAAAGTTGGGGAGATAAAGGGGTGAGATAGAGGGGGAGAGAAGGGGGGGAGTTAGAGGTGGGGGAGACGAGGGCGAGATGGGGGGAGAGAAGGGAGGGAGACGGGAGAGTTCAGCTGTAGTGCAGAGCTCAGCTAACTCCCCCAGGTTAGTCTCTGCAGGCTCAGACAGAAAAATCAATCCTGCAGCTACCATGTAGTTGGCTGCAGTCAGGGGCGGACTGACCATTTGGAAACTCGGGCACTGCCCGAGGGCCCGGGGTCAGTAGGGGGCCCCATGAGATGCCTCTGGTACCTTTTTCATAGGCTTTTTTGAGTTTGGGCAAGGACACAGGGGCCCCATGATCCCCTATTGCCCGGGGGCCCCATGAGTTGTCAGTCCACCCCTGGCTGCAGTGCTTCAAATTTCCCACCCGCACATCTTCTTAGGCACAGCACTGGCTGGGAATTGGAGTGTGGGTGGGACAGACAGGAGGAGAGGCGTGAGAAGAGGCAGTGTACATCGATCTCCTCTCTCCTCCCTGGTAAATGCAGGGAAGGGGAGGGGGAGTGTGCTGTCTGGGCAGTGTGAGCTGCTGCAGACATATTTTGTTGAATGGGGGGGGCACAGTTGAAATTTGGGGGGACATAGCCCCCACCCCAGCACCCCCCTAGATCTGAACATGCCCTGAGCTTGTTTTTTTTAATGCTTTTTAGGGAATTTGAACTTAGATGAGGTAAGGGGTGTATGAAATGCCCAAGGGCAGGGGCGGACTGACCATTGGGGAACTCGGGCACTGCCCGAGGGCCCGGGGTCAGTAGGGGGCCCCATGAGATGTCCCTGGTGCCTTTCATAGGCTTTTTTTTGGGTTTGAGGGTGAGGACACAGGGGCCCCATGATCCCTTATTGCGGGGGGCCCCATGAGTTGTCAGTCCGCCCCTGCCCAAGGGTATTGTCAGAGAGGACAAACTACTTAGCAACTATGTACAAGCCTTTACACAGCAAAAATTCTTCTGGAGAACTAGCCAGAATCTCCTCTTAGACCACCCCAGATGACTCCTCTCCTCATCCAGCTGTACTGGGTGAATCCCTGAGCAGAGTATCCAGTGCCTGCCACTGCAGTGTGAACAGTCCAGGGTAAGAAAGCTAATCCAGTTTTCCAATAGAGTGCCTCTTTCCCCCTACTGGCACAGGGGGTGCAGGTCTACTCACGCAATCCTCCTATGCTGCTGGTGGGTCAGTGGCTACTAGGCCTTCCAGCTAGGCTGCTCTTTCCCTGCTGCACAGGTGGTCCTTGCTCTGGGGGCCTGTGAAGTCCTGAGTTTTCCTCCCTCCAAAGGTCCTCTGCCTGTAGGTGAGCCCCTCTCCATCTGGGCCCCCTCCTAGGCTCATGCTCTTCAGCCTCTCACTTCATCTTCCACCCAAACTCTCCTGCTGCTGAGCAGGCTCTATTACTTTTAAGGGCTGTCCTTACCCCGTGCCAAGCCTCCTGTTGGGTATTGGCCAGGACCCCTCAAAAGTGTAGATCAGCCACTCCTTACCTCCGCCCACTGCTTCTAGAACGTTCTCTAAAGTTCCAGTGCAGGGGGAAGTCTCAGAGAGCTGGTCTGCAGAGTCTCTCAGCCCTGACGTGAATTTGAGCTCAGACTCAGCCCCTCTGATTGAAGATTAGAACTCTAACTCCCCCTAGCTATCCAGGAGGGTGCTACACTAAATTGAAGAACTACATAAAGGTTGCTGACAGATGTATGGATGAACAATTAACCATGAGATCATGGATGGATGAGCTGTGGTAGATAAAGGCTCTGTGCAGAGTATGAGTGCAGCATGTGCCCTGGACAGGATAAGCAGGTGTGTAGCATCAAATGTTCAGTCCTATGGATAACAAACCAGTCCACAATTTGTGGCTGACAGAGACTGTAGGTGCTAGCCTATACAATAACCATATGTCAAGCACAGGGCAAGTGGGACCAGAAACCGAAGGTATGCCGGTGTAGTACTGACACAAGCAGCCTCTCCTGTAGCCTCAGTCAAGCCTGCATTAGCAATACTGCACAGCTGATATGACCTAGGAAAGAGTGTGGTCCCTGGTATTAAACCACTCTCTCTCCAAAAGGCTGAACGGCAAGCATTTGTTTAGGTAAGTAAACTCCCAGTGACACCAACAATTTTAGATTTATTTTCCTCCCACTGACACTTATTTTATTCAGACACAAATGGACAGCACTTCTTTTAACAAGTTACTAAGTGGTTAGCACTTCCGCCTAGCAGCACTAGGGTCATTAGTTTGAATCCCAACCATGGCACCACCTGCTTGGAGTTGGCATTCTCTCTATGCCTGTATGGGTTTGTTCTGGGTACTCTGGTTTTCTACTACACTCCAAAGACATGCTGGTAGGTTAATTGGCTTCTGTCTAAAATTGACCATAGTATGTGTATGAATGTGAGTTAGGGACCTTTTGTAGGATACCATTTCTCTTAAATTTTTAGACCACCTGATTATTTCGCTTTTTTTGGCAATGCCCCTGTACAAAATGCCCAGTTGCCTATATTGTTTCTCTCACTGTTGTGTTCTGCTTAATTTTATAAAACTCAAGAAATATTTTTTTAAACAAAAAAATTGTTGCTGACCAAGAAAACTCCTTTAAAAAACAGAAACTGTATTCCCAAATGGCAGTGACCCCATCAGCAGGATAATGCAACCTGCCACACTGCAAAATTGGTTCAAGAATGGTTTAAGGAACACAATAATGAGTTTGAAGTATTGACTTAGCTTCCAAATTTTCTAGATCTCAATCCATCAATCATCTGTGGGATGTACTGGAAAGCAACACTTGCAAAATGCCAAATCGAGCTCTATGGTGCTGGGCAGTGAGCACAGGGCCAACTAGGGGACATCAGGCCCTCAGTCCACCCTCATGAAGTCAGTTTCTGATTGCTTGGTCAGAGGCAGACCTTCACACCAGTGGCCTGCTGAAGGTCATTTTGTAGGGCTCTGAGAGAGCTCAGCCTTTTTATACAAGACAATAAGGACTACCTTAAAGAAGCTGACTTTGCCAGATATGATCACCTATAAGACACTGATTAGGGATCCCCTACCAGAATATATATAGCTCATTTTGAAGGCCTCTTAGGGGGATCAAAAAAAAAAAAAAAAAAAAAAAAAAAAAAAAAGTGTGATAAAAGCTTCTTGCTACCCAAGAGTTACAGTAACTCTTATTTCTATAACCTACCTAAAAAGGTGTACAAGTCCTTCCAGAACCCTCTTGGTAGGCCCATCATAGCCAGTTCTCACTACATAGGAGGAGAGTCAAAACCCATAGGGGTGGATTTACTAAAGGCAAATATACTGTGCACTGCTGTTGCACCAGATCTTAGAAATCAGCAGAGCTGCTCAATTATCAACATCCAATAATTTGCAACCAAAAATGCATTGAAACACTTGCATGTGATTAGGTATTCTTTGCATACAGAAAAAAAAAAAAAAAAAAAAAAAAAAAAAAAAACTTTACCTCATTTACTAAGCTTTGGAGCAA